AAGCATCCGCCAAAAAAAAAAAAACGGAACAACGGGACGATTTATTTGGTAAGAATGGTTAATTGAGAAAAATTTTGAACATCTCTATCCAAAACAGTCGATCGTCATAGGTTTTAATTAGTTTGAAATCTCAAAAATATTAACAATGATTCACTTTATAGTTTGTAAACGTGTTGAATGTTGAAAGCCCGCGTCGTGCACGAAAAAACGAAAGCGACGGGCGATTTCAAAATGTTAATTGACATTTGCATATTTCAAAATCATGTTAAGAACCAAACAATTTGAAAGTTCCCAAATTTTCTTATCCATCTCGTGACGCCGCATTTGCAGGAAGATGTAGCCTTTGAATGAAAGAGGTTGCGTTATCGAAGCGTAATTGCTAAAGTATCAGTTATTCAGAAATAATCATGGTAGGTTTCTGAATATAGAAATCTCTGCGATCACTACCATGCCTAGATTTACACGATAATTCGGAATTTTCTTCTATTTAGCGAGTGGAATTTCACGGTGACTCGTTCCCCGTCCTCTGAGCGAGACAAAGCGCGCGGAATTACCACTGTCCACCACCTCTCCATGTCGGTGATGGCCCATACACCCATGATGGGCCTAAAATATGTAAAAAGACAATAGCTTATACAGGTGCCGTACCCTTCTAAGGGGACTATTTGATTTGATTATACTGGTCTTAAAAATTTTGAAATCTGCGAACGCACGCTTGATTCTGTGTATAAGTCGGTGTTCTTATCCGTGCTCTGTCTGCTGTAGGACATATCAGTGGAAGGCTTGTGCCATGTGCTTAGTCAAGCCGAGATTTGAAGAACAGCCCCAGATCAAATTGGTAACAGCGGTTGATAATGAATTTGTGGATGCAGAATCAACTGAAAATGAAAAAAGAAACAGAGCAAACCGCCGATAGGACCCTTAGAAAGGACTCCCTTTCTCTCCCCTTCCCTTGAAATGAGAAATCGGTGTGTCACACGAGTTCTCTGTATGCTTTCTCTATGGCTCCACTAAGCCGCGCGTATTTGAATAATCCCGCGCGTCGCAATTCACGTTGCTTTTCATGGGGTGTGCGCGAGATATCTCGTCCATTAGCTCACATAAGCCGCCATCAGCTCACTTTGTATGGTTCTAGCGCCATCATCGCGCACTTTCGAGCCGCGACTAATTCTCGTTCGTTCGATTCGCTGGCGCAAAGTTCGATTTGCTGGCGCAACACTCGTGTCCAGCGAATCGCTATATTTGCAAACTATCACATCGGCCTTAGAGAGACACAATACCCAAGATCCCCTTTGCTGTTGGCAAGGTGAGAGCATAGTTTTGCATGAAGTCGCCAGTAGGAGTCGTCTCTATACGAATCTCTTGAAAAGGGATAAAACATTCGCATATAAAAGAATTAGGTCATTTGGCCTCTTGCTCAAACGAATCATGGCCCTCCATCAAAGAACCTTATTATGATCCCCAAGTTTTCGAAAAAATGAGCAAAACACTATACGTTTTAGAATCCGCAAGAACGACAAGGCAAAGTGAAGGCAACCAAGTAATTTTGATTTGGCATCACTTTTGTTGAATAATAGCCAATAAAAATAATTTAGGCAAACAACGCTAGAACAAGGTGTGAGTGCCTGGGGACTGGCAGTAGTTTCCATCATTGGCTTGGAAATAGGGTCTCAGCCTACAAAATGTATCAGAAAACTAAGTTTAGGCAAAGCAGTACCTGATCAATGCAGAACCACAGGCGAGCGTCCACTTGCTGCACTTTACCAAGGACAATTGGTAAGAGTACACTGACGAAGAGGCATTAAAAGTAGACTTAGACTCAGGTGGGGGGAGGGGTGCAGGGCAAACTGCGCTTCTCCAAAACGGTCTTTTGCATTTCATAGGAACGCATGTAGGGATCACAAAACCATATTTCATTTCCACTGGACGGTTTTAGCAGTATCAAAAAAGTGGCAGGTACTGCCCGTGCATGGTTCGATCCCCGTCGCGACTAAATTCTGCATTTGACTATTCGTCTAGGGGTGGTGCCGAATGGTGCTAAATGTCAAAATCGGATGTCATATTCACGGTTAGGATCATATTGAAGCAAGTAGCCGCTAATCTTGATTGCAAAATTTAGTCGTCACGGGGGACCGAACCATTGAGAGTAATATTCATTACTTTTTTAGTAATATTAAAACCGTCCAACGAAAATGAAACATGGTTTGGTCTTCACGCATGCGTCCCTACAATATGCAGAGATGCGTTTCGGAAAAGCGCGGCTTGCGAAAGATCCCCTTATTAGGATGGTTCCTTCCATTGCTAGTGAGCCCAAGGGACGACGATTTCCAAGCACTGCGACGGTTCTGAGCATTACGCCTCTGGAAACGTCTGTAGTCGTTCTCGAAAGTTCTGGCACCCCGACCCCCTGCTTTTGGTACAGCTTCATTCTCAGCTAGATGGATGCATGTATTTTGTGGAAGCCACTTATCACAACCTACGCAGTGGCGCAATTTCGGTCGGTAGTTTACGCGTACTGCAGCAACATAGAACTTCCTCATCTGTAACATAGTCGGCGTACCGTATGGTGCGAGCAGTGCTTTCCCATCTTTGCCTTACATAAAGTGTACAAGGAATCATAGTATGGACGAAATTCAAATCGTCTCGTGTCACCCTAGAAGGGAGGTCCTTTAGGACATGAAGCTTTTTTTTCAAAATAGTTTTGTGAATGTTGTAGAGTCTCATGTGAAGGACACAGAACCATGGTCCATTTTTCCTGAACACCCCAAAGAATGTCAAAACAACGGGAAAAATGGTCCAACCTTCGATCTCCATGATGACAATTTTTTGCAATTTATGTTGGCGATGTTGGCGCCTCCAAATTGTCGCAAAACACAAGAGTGACATCTATTCTTGACCATGGCGCCGTTTGGCGACAATCTGGGAGCACCAAACTGTATTGCAAACATTAGTCATCACCGATCGAACTCAGGACCATTTCTTCATCACTGTGTTGACATTTCTGGGGGCGTTTGAAATGGATCATGGTTCTGTGTTCCCCGCATGAGCCCCACAACATGCAGAAAACCACTACGAAAGAACGCTGAATGTCCTGAAAGACCTCCATTGTTAGTGGGTGGCGGTACCTTAAAAGAATAAAAACGAGATGGTTTGAAGCAGTGTATCATTAACGCAGATATTCCTTGCTTACTGGCAAAGCTGACCTGTATTAAGTGCAACGCCAAAAAGGCATTGAGACTTAGTGTCCTGGTACGATCATATTCGTATGCTTCAGAAGGTCTCAAAAATGTGCATCTACGAAAAAGTGCGAAAACGTGAGTTAATGAAGAAAGAGAATGTACAGTAAAATTTCATTGATTGTACAGCAGAGAGCCTTTGGCGAACTTCTTACAGCTCTGCAAAAGTAGCATTTGGAAGATGTTATAGGCCCTTTTAAGATTTTTGTGTGAGTGTTTTCTTCATGGTGTTTTTTTTTCTCGTGTAAAGGCATTCTCTGGTTGTGAATGTAAGCCTTACATGTTACGGGAAAAAGTACGTTATTCCGAATCATTCATTCATACGAACTTGTTGAAAGTAAACGGCTCGAAATAATATGTCCTTCGATAAGACGATTCTTTAATTGGACGTGCGCGCTCTCGACCTGCCGAGAGGATGAACCGTGGCGCGCTCCTGGGATAACGATACGCGGGAAGCAGTGTGATTTACTAATATTTTTATTGTGTCGTTGATGTTTTGCATCATGTACATTGATCGCTAGCAAACAATCAACAGCGGTTCGTGACCGGTATTTCTTGCATCAGAGAGAGGGTGGGTTCGTAAAAATCTGAAAAAGGATCAAATGCAATGGTTTACGCTTCTCATGTTTCAGGGTGCTGCCGAAATCCCGAATGGGTGTCTGGATAGGGGTGTCATACATCGGTTCGGTTGTATCAAAACAACAAAAAACTGTCTTTATTCTGATTTATCTTGTAATAACAGTTTGCGTTATCATTGAATATAAATAAACTATTTTTGATAGACAAGTGTAGTTCCATTTTCGATTTTCACCCACTCATTTGTTGTCATATAAACATACACACGAAGCAGATATCGCCTTATGAACGGAACATCATCCTAACCCCTTCGAAACACATTTTAGATGGTTCGAAATTATAGGCTTTTTACCACGCGGTTTCTGTGCGGCTATTTATGTACGTTGGAAAAATTGTTAATACCACCGAGTTGTAGTATTTTCAATGTTCTTTCTTAATGCGTGTTAGTTTCTTTATGGTTTTTACTTCATGTGCGAGTCGTCGCAAAATGATCGCATTACCTGTACAGTGAGGTCAGGAAAGCATAGATAACTCGTGGTGTTATAGAGAGCGAAAAACTGCTCCAGAAAAGAAATTGCTCCAAAAAGGAACCAAAGTAGATGGGAAACTGGAACCGCGTCTCACATCTGGAGGTTTGTATTGTAAAAAAAACACTGTGTGAAAACATGAGTTATTAACTTAAGTTAACAAAACATGAGTTATGAGGGGAGGTGGTGAGGAAATATGAGGTGCAGACGAAGAACATTGCAGCTGCTGCAGCTAAATTTGCAGGACCCTACGGCCCTTGTCGAGCAATTTCCATTCACGGGAGTGCCAATTCTATGATTGCTCTCCAGGGTTCTATCCTACAGACGAAGGGAATCGCTTACACAACATGTGCCTGGATCATGCCTTTGAAAACATTGACTACTGACAGAAGAAAGCACACATAAAATCTTTCTTTATTCAAATGATATTATTCTTTTGAGCGAAATGCAGCACATTACGAATTTCATCAACAACACTAATTATTTTAACTCACAACGCGCATAAATCAATCAATTTTTATTCAAAAATTAACTATATAATTTTCTTTGGACACCAATATTCTGCCTGAAAAACTTTCCAAGATGAAATCGGGAATAATAAGATGAGTGAGATCAGAAAGTGGACAGTTTCACATAGAGAGGCAACCACACCCGTAATTGCTTAAAAAGTGGTAGATCGAAGGAGGAGCACGAGGACGACGGAGGACGCCAAACCCAACATCGGAGCCAGCTGGCCCGAAGGGGCTGGCGAGGAATTACAGAGATTGGTATGACATCCACAAATGGCTAGACGTGATGGTTCGAGCTCTTGCCGGAGCGCAGTTGGCATGAACAGCTGACGAGCTGTAGTATCTGAAAACAGTGTGGTTCAGTTGAAAAGAGAAACTGCTTCAAAACAAAAGGATCAAGCATTCGTTGACCAATCTCCTTTTGAAAAACGCCACGAAATTCACTCAATTTTAGTGTTTCTACTGGCATGTGGAGTGGATTCGCTCAAGCGACTACTGGCGAATGTCAGACTTTTGCACTGAGCGATTTGCAACAATTGCAGGAGCGAAGGATCCGCTCCATAAGTGCCGAGCGACGGGAGATTTACCCCGTCGACGACCGTCAACCGCGCCGCTCGGGTAAAAATCTCACCGTCGCCCGCACTTTGGAGGGCGATGCCGTCGCTCCTGCAATTGGTGCAGAATCGCTCCAGTCGCAAGTCTAACATCCGGCCACTTCCAAGGGCCATCGAAGGGATGTAACAGATTGCATTTTCCGCGTGCCACAGACGAGACTGCTACAATCGGCCAATCCCGAAAAGCGTATTTGGCTCGCATCGGAGCCGATGATCCCGGATTTGAATAGTTAAGGACCCAGTCCAAAACTACTGTGATTATATTTACGTTTCTATCAAAGACGTGAGGTAAATATGTTGTACAGCCATAACTTTTTCCGACATACCGGCTAATAAAATTCGGAATTTTGACCATAATTTATCTATTAAATATAAGAAATTGGAGGCAACTGCCGGATTTGCAGATTATTATTCGCTAGTTATGGTCTAAAAGCTTCCACTATCCGTGATGGTTTATTTACTTATTTTATCTATGTTCATTAATTTATTTATTTTTTTTATTTATTCATCACTCACTATAACACCCAACTCAGTGACACAGTTAATAGGAGCACACGTGAATAAGCAGGGACGCGATAAAAAGAGCAGCACTTGCGAAAAACATTTGTCTAAAAAGCATAGAGCGTTACCGAACATTAAATCATTATCTTCAAGAATAATAATATCGAACAGGAGCAACCACTACTTTCAATATCATTCTCTCTTCGTCCATCCATTGCTTAGCACAGTTAAAGGACGAATTTCACGATGAAGGAGCAACCCATTTCAAATTAGATTACGAATCGGGTGAAGTGGTACACAAAGAAGGAAAAAACCACGAAGAACGGCCTAAGACACGCAGAAAATAGGACCCTTCTTGCCCGTTTATTTTGAGCACTGATGGCGGCCTATCATCGCTGTGCCCTCTCAACCCTACGGCTCTCTCACCTAGTAATCATTCACCCGTCATTAGACCTGCGGCGAGGTGATCAAGATGATCGGTGGGCGTGCACTGACCAGCCAGCCGGACGCAGGAATTAAACACTTAATAGCGTTCACGAGGTAACGTTCCGTGCAAATTGTGCTTCAATTACGCGACATTAAGGCTCCGCTATCATTAGGAGCAGGGTACCTCAACCAGCGTGATGTCTTCCTATTCGATTTTCCCTTGATCGTGAATTCCGTTCCTTTCATGTGAATCATATTCACAGCGGATTTCAGCCAGCGAGGTCGTCGCTGAACAGCAGAATCGTTCTCACTGACCCCCTCCATAAGTTTGGATGGGCTCGTAAGAATAACACCAATGGGCAAAGAAATGTTTGACTATGTTAAAATACTGGAGCGCAGAAAGCGGTTAAAGCAGTGAAGGGCGGCGCGAAATTAATGCGTCACTGGACATGTGGTATATTAGACCGCTCAGCGCGCTGGTGATATGGAGGGGTGTCGCCCTAGATGGCCCGCGCGTGAAGAGAGACGCACGATTGCGGCAAAGCGAGTCGCCAGCGCTGCTGTCCCATAATGAGAAGTAATATGGTATACACTGTAACTTGACGCATACCGCTACAGTAACGCGCTGCGACTCGTGCCTTAGTGCCGCAGCTGTGTCTTTCCTTCGCGCGCGCGACGGCTTTGAGGGCCAACCGCTGTGACGTGGAGACCCCTTAACCACCTCGTGACCTTCAGCTTTGTCCCTACATTCATATCGGAGGATCCCCCTTGATTAGGGTCGTTACCAGGCGTGCGAAAAGCGTAAATACCATTCGACTTCGCAGCATCACATTGTGATGTTGTCGGGGTGTTCATCCTGTTGATCGTCATTTTGCTCTCCGCTACTGAAACACTCAACACGACTATATGCACGCTCATCAAAGAAAACGCCAATGCGACACGTAATATCGCATTTTCGGATTCACGAGGAATGCATTCAGCCAGAACCAATAAACGCTCCAGTAACGGCGAGGCGGATCTCGCCGGGTGGACAGCTACGCAACAGAGCATCTCCGCGGCGTTCTTCACGCGAAGCACTGGGAGCATTGCAAAGCAAAATTGACTACTGACTCTCCAAGGCACTAAAACGCGTTGGCTGCCTCACTCACGGGCACAATTTCGGGCTTGATTTGGGATACTAAGACTAACCAGCCCTGCTTCATCCCTACCAAAATTGACTTATTGGTAGACGAGACTCGTTAGGGTGGATAAAGCAATGATTTAACATCCAAATACCCCCTCACCAACTCATTGTAATACGGCCAAACAGCATTCAACATACCATTACGACTCCGAATAGAGCTTTTATGTGGGGCGCATACCAAAAAAGATTGGACGAACTAAGTGCTTCCACCCCTGCCATCCTATATCACGAGAGATTTTTTCCACATGTCTCTCAATTTCAAGAAGCTGTTAGGTCCGCTATGTTCACGAGTCAACAGCTTAGAGGTGCAAATGGAAAATGTCATGGGGTAAACGGAATAAATGTACTTCAACGTTTTCACAAATGGTGACACCAGAAGATCATTTACATTGAACATGACAAATGGTAGCGTGGCCCAATGACGTCTATCAAAACCGTAGCAGTCAACTTCAGAGGAAAGCGTTCAAATTGCGGCCTCCGCTTGCGCGAATTCTTAACCTCAACACAAGTGCCGCTAAGATTTAGGCCGAATGTCAGACTTTGCGGAATCGCGCGATCGCGTACTACGATTCGCTGAGCGTCCGCCGGTCGCGTTGTGGTACCCAGCCAATTGTAGTGTTCACTGGCAAGTGATTCGCGAACCGCAATAACGCTCAGGAAGCGCTAGTAAGCGGATCGCGCCGAATTCGCAAAGTCGGACATCGAGGCTTAGCGCCCGCCGCGCCCGCGACAAAATTTGCGCGGTTCGAGTGGGACTAGCTGCACACCTCGAGGCCACAAATGTGGCAATCACTTTGAAAGACGACAGACAACAAGGTAAGCTGGTGACACTCTTCGCATTGACCATTTAGTGTGGGTTTTCTATCTCTACTAGAGTTGTCTTCGGATTGTTAGAAACCTTGAGGGGTCTGCTCGCAAAGTTCTCGACATTTTTCAGGCTCTGAAGAATGTGAACAAAGCCGAAACAAACTACTTTGTTAAGTACTACAATCTTGGAGAGGCTTCAATGAAGTATAAAACTGAGTTGTTCAATGGCAAGATTAAAAGAAAGTCGAACACGAACTAGACTTTGAAAGATATAATTGAAAAGAAATCCGTGAAATGATAAGTATGATCAACATGGTCCTGTCAATTAACTCGTCACTGAGTAAGGAGAGTTAGATTCAACTTCCATGGAATGTCAAATAAATTATGGCTCATTCTCAGGTTCCCTCCGCTCGAGTCCCACAAATGTTCCCACAAGGTATTGCCTTTGCACTTATTTAGTACGCATTCCAATAATATTGTTCGGCTCCTTCTCGTAGTTGAAACTGTCATTTTCGTATCCGAGAAGAACGGAAGACTGCTGAAGACTGCCTCCAAGCTTCCCTGTAGTTGTTTACTTACTGGGATAATCTTTTTCATTTGTCAACAATCTAACCGGGTCAATTTGCAAAATATTTTCGAAACATTCAAATTAAATATTTTTTGAGTAGGGTCATGACTTCTCTCTATCGAGTTTCAGAGTTTCCTAGCCCAACGGGTAAAACTTGCAGTGCACACGACTTACCAAGACACCGGTATGATTCGGCAAGGGCTCGAATCAAACTGTGATTGTATCCGTGTATATCAGATAGACCAACCGCGCACGTAGCCATGCCTCCGTCGTCCTGAAAACCACAATTTGCTTTTACAATTTGAAAATTTCAATAATCTGTGTCTTTCTGAGCGATTGTGTCCCCTCCATGACGGTGTTAAAACTATGATTGACGCCAAATAGGAATAACTATCAGAAGCCTCATAACCGACTACCCGTCAAGAACGGCTAGACCAGCGACGAAACCAAGAGTTGGAGTGGCGGAATCGGAGGTGGGTAGAAGCACGAATGGACCTAGAAGAGCGAGAAAACCTTATCGTCAAGCTTCATTTTAACGACGTGCCCTCCCAACGTTCAGGCTGGGTTCCAGAGGACCGATACGAATGGGCACGTAATCAGTCCCTAGGACTCCCATCCTCCCTTTGTCGTGATTATATTTTCCCTACTTTTAAATTCAATTTTTTGCCACCTTTTTACTTCGTGTATTGCAATGGCTACTCAGTTATCGCGGGCTCACCAATACAGACGCTTCCCCTAGGACTATTGATGACGGCAACCATTAAAGTGAAACTTTTTTGGGATCATTTTAATTAGACCAATGAAGGAGAATGAAGAGATTGGGAGCCGCCCCAAGAGTAGGAAGCTTTAGGGTGTTTTGAGGATGCTTGACAGTACAACCATGTCGAGCGAAGTGGAGGAAAGCCAATGATGTGCAGGGCCCTGATGATTTCGGGTACCTGACAGGAGGCCCGTCGCGCGGTATAAGGCATGATGTTAGCAGACGAAGTCGGCAGCGCGGTGCATGTATCAATTTCGCGTCAAAGTTAACTAGAAATATACCGCTCGCTGTGGGGCGTCCCAAATCGCACGCTCCACGCGCTGGCGGTCTCCTGCCGGCGACTCTCTTCTTACCTCGACACGGGGCCCTGTCGGTACTCAGTGCATTTCCCGTGATAATTTGCTAATCGCAGAATATACAGTGCGTTTCAAAAGTATGTGCACACCCTCAAATTCACGTTTGAAAGGGAAACATGAGGTTTCGTGCTATTGAACTCTTCTCAATCGATTTTTCGTGTCGATAACCTATCAGTGAAGCACAAACAGATAATAATCGCCTCACTTTCGGAAAAATTTTTGTGATGGAATATTTTTTCTTTGTTTCAAAAGTATGTACACACTTGAAGAAGATCAGATTTTGGCGCCGGAATTCTCCCAACCGATTTGAATCCGACTTGCTGTTTTCATTTCGTCATCATGTCATATTCGCGCCATTACTCTTCCTGAAAGATGAAGCAAGCTCAGATCAAGGTTCTTGCATGATAATGAACGTTCCAATCTAGGAAATCGCACGAAATAACTTGGTCCTTCTTCCTGAATGCCATTCGAAGATTTATCCGGCCCCTGATAATTATTACTCAGCACACACTCCGCTCCATGCCACGACCCTTGACTGCTCAGAACAAACAAAAAGAAGTAGCAACATCCTGTCGAATTCTTCATTGAGAGTACGAGCTCAGATTTTTATTCCAGCCTGGAAATAACCACTAATCCCTCAATCGCTCAACACGAATACACCACTCGACAGACGCTGAGGAAGGCTACTGACTTCAAGGCCCAGCACAAGTTAGCCACATGGATTGTGCTCGTACAGACACGGCAACAATAGGATAGGAACGGGAGAAGACACGCTTTTTCGAGAATTTCCTATTTTCAAAACAAGGCAACTTTCAATGAACTTCTCTCTCATCAGTAATCTTAGCTCATGGAAGGAGTTCGATCTTGACGGGCCGGGTGGATTTTGCTACTACTGCGGAGAGGCCTGGCCGTGAGTCGCTCGTGCTTTCCGAGAAGGAATTTCGGAAGAGGCCCGTTGATGGTCTGCGGCGGTTTCGTAATCAGAGGAAATTCAGAAGTGCCGTTCCATTACTGCGTATGAACTGTGATGAATACCAGCAGTGCTCCAATGTCAACCTATGGGCCCTTCCTTAGCGGAGCGGAGCGAAAATTGCATTTTTAGCAACAGGACCACGTGTCTTTTCGATGCTTCGCACAACCCACCAAGAATGGCCTAACCAAATGGTGAAGCAATAGATTGGCTTGTGTGTCCTCCTTACGCAACCCTATAGAAGCCTTGATCAAGGCGTTAACTTTAGCAACCGGCAGTATAATACCGCTGATGAAGCGAAGGCGCGCGGTAGAGGCTATTAGGCGCCGACAGCGGGCGAAACAGCTATGCCAAACGTGTTCAGATTATGCCGGACAGGATGTTTGAGCTAATTAGAAACTCTAGAGGCCCACTGATTTCTAATCTCAGCTATGTTCTTGTTTTTTGTTAAGTGTGCAACTAACTTTTGAAACCAAGAAAAACTTCCATCCAAAATTTTCTTTCGAAAGTGAGGCGATATTATCTACTTTGCTTCCATTGATAGGTTATCGACTACGAGAAGTCGATTGAGAAGGATTTCATGCACGAAGACCTCATGTTCCTTTCAAACTGCGATTTTTAGGCTGTGCACATACTTTGGAAACGCACTGTAGTACTGAAATCAGTTGTCCCCTCCGCACACGCGCATCTCTGGTTATACCAACGAAGGATTTTTTCGAGTTCACAGTGTGACTCACTCGCTTAAAGTTTCAGTCTCTGAGCTTTATGAGCCTTGAACGTTGTAATCTGGAGTAAAGTTACTCCATAAAAAGAGCGCATTTGAAGGACTCTTCCACGGAAAGCCCCGCCTTCATTATACGCGCAGAAAACGATCCTCAAGGAATCTTCTACGGAAAGAGTGATCATTTTGTCTTGTGTGTAGGAGTAGATATTATCGAAACTACGCTCATGTCCGTTTTTTTTGCTATGCTCATGAGGCTAGGGGCTCAATGAGGTATCGTTTTCTAGGGTAAATGGGGGCGCAAGCTTTCCCCCGCGAAGATTCCTTTAGCAGTATTTGCATATGCATATGCCTCTTACATTCCCTCTTACAATACGCCTTCGTAACTAGGCCATGAAGGCACTTACACACCTTACTGGCAGCCTGAGCGGCATAGAATTAAAGAACATGTTAAGTGGAGACTAACTAAGGCAATAGTGGAAGTGATTGTCTTCCGAGTCACCCGCTACTCAGCCCGGACAGTTTTTGATAACCGTCTGACCTCTGCTCTGTGTTTTCGCCCCATGCTCCAGCGCTATCACTGCTGAGGTGACAAGTTATTTCATTTGACCTACTGCACAGTGCTTAACGATCAGTGCCCTTGAACGGACAATCACTCGACAATTCATATACAATTAATATCGCAAACTCTTGGGCAATTCAAGCACAGCTGGCTGGATGAGTCATATTTTAAGTGGAAAAGAAATGGAACTCCTTGCAGCAATAAGCAGTAAGCTTATTCTAAATTAAAAGTTTCTGATTCATAACTGATTTGTTTTCTGATTACTTATTGTAGCGCATCTATGAATGCACAGTGTAAATAATAAATAAATAAATAAATAAAATAAGCAGATATCTGGCTATTCGAGATGAAGAAAGCACGGATACAAGAGCTTATCTCAAACAACAAGTCCACCAAATTACACAAAAAAAGATCCCATGTCGCCTTAGAAGTCCCAGGTGATTCAAAAAGAGAGCGTTAGCTTCGCAAAACTCTGCTTTCCCCATGTGGGTTTCTTGTGGTAAATGGCATTAGTTCGGAAACGTCGACAGATTTATTACTACTCTTCACCGTTTGCTCCAATTAGCGCTGACCCTTCATTTTCTTTGCCCTTACCGGTAATCGCAGTGAAGTTTTGGTAAAAATTTAAATCGTACTCACGATATTATCGATCGGGTAGTCGTGCTACAGTACAATGCCCAAGTAGATCTGAGCAAGGAAAAATTTCACAGCGTCCACTGGTATCCGATTGTTTTGAAAGCGACTTTAGCATTACAAAACCACGAACTTCAACCAAACAAACTGATCCTAGTGCAACCCGGATGAAAAGCAAGAGTGGAAAAACAAGGATATGCCTACAGGGAACGCTTTTCGTCTGTAGAATGCTGAAGCTTGAAAATGGTTTGGGAAAATTCGTAAGTTCCTAACGATGAAAATAATGTGGGGCGGAGTAACAAATGAGTAGGTGCATCTCAAGCGCTCTTAAACGCGAATGCTCGATCAAAAAAATCAGTTTGAATTGAAGAGCGCCTGAATTTTGGAAAGCTTCAAATAACCACTGATGATAATCAATTTAAGATACTCGTGTGGAACAATAATTTTATATAAATACCACATTGGATCAGATTTTTTAGGAAGAAAATTTAAAAAATTTTAAGCTGATGTTTTGCGAGAGAGGGCGCTGCTCCCCTTTATGTTGATTTTGTTTGCATTCGCTAGCTGAGGACTGAGTTAATGAATGCGCCCGAGGTTTCTATTATGAATGGTGTCAACAGAGCGATAATCTTTTATGGAGCTATGTATATGAGCTGCGATATTGGTTCCCTTTATACACCCTACGCTGTGCTTCCCACACAGACTGAGCTTTTTTGTAAGGCTGCAAACTTTAAGAACGAGAAAGTGCTCTTCAAATCGCATTGGTAAGACCATTTTCGACGTAAAAAACGAAGTTGAAAGTGCAACATCGAGCTGTCTTAAAATGTTCTGCTCCCTCAAGAACAGTGTTATCATTTATTGTAAATAATGATGGATTTGAGTAAAAGGGCAAAGGACTCTGTATTCGACTGTCACCATTGTTATGGGATACGCCACGCACTTATTTTCCGAGCGGCGGCAACATTAGCAATTTTGGTCTACGAAGTGTTTAGCAAAGATTACCACTTTTACTAAAATTGTCGTATGTACATTCATTCGTTCTCTACCCGACAAGCTCGGAGCCAAAAAGTCGGAGAGGTGGTAGGTTTAAGCACGACAAGATTTAAGTCAAAATTCACATACTCGTCTCTGGCTTGACACTGTCAGCTCCACGCTATAAATATGATACTGATTTCAAGTGAAAGGGAGTGGTGGCAAGTCTTCTGTAGCGAAATCCACAGGCGCAGTTGTATGTGCAGTTTAGCTTCAAATCAACTTGCT